TAAATTAAATAATACATATTTCATAATTAATTAATAACTTAGTAAAAAAACTTATTGTTAAAAATATTTATATTACATATGCCTTGTAAAAACATATTAAATACATTTCATAACCTATTTATTGAAATAAAAATTTCGCAAAAACAGATCAAGGCAAATTACAGACAATATTGCAAAAGTTTTACAACTTTATAAAGATTGGATCTTTTCGGAACTTAGATCATAAGATCGGATTAGGACCACTGTTTAAGAGGGTATTATTGTCTTGGGAAAGAGCGAGCTTTCATCTCTCAGCCCGTAATCCATCGCGCTATTCAAGTATGGATAAACCACGAACGCTGCAAATTATTTCTGTTTTCCTCCGCCGTAATATCGCTAGAAGGAAAACCTTTGTATGCTTATATTTAGAATCATTTTGCTTTTATTTTTGACATTAAAATTATAATCCCCATTTAAAGCATTATGTCATCTTAGATATTCTAAACACAGAACATAAATGTACTTGAATGTAACTAAAAACTTGAATATAACTAAAAATATGAAATTATCATTATTAACCTGAAGATGTATTTTTTGTTTTATTCAATAATTTTTTCAATACAATCAAAAAATTGCCTGAGCACATTTATATTGTACCTAGCTGTACAAATCTTGTATCGAAGCCATTTTCCTTTTTCTTCGGCCAGAATTTGAAAGTGGAACTGCTGACAAACTAGTGATTTTCTGTGCCTGACACACACCGATTTTTTGGGACTCTTTTTTGGTTTGCCCACGATCTTTTCCTTCACCGTACGAGCGAGTGTTCAATGCGCACATAGCCATAAAGTCCATTGGTGCACAGGGAATCAAACGTACGACCCCAGGGATGAGAGTCGTACGTTGAAACACTGCTCGGGCGAATACAAGCGCATATTCTAGTGTAAAATATTCATTCATCAGTTGACATATAAACTGTAATTTCCTAGTCGTAATTAAAACCCTTGAACACAATGGCCGATAATTATTTTCCTTTGTTTTCAGAGTTCAATCACAATATTAGAAAATATCTACACACAGAAAGAGCCTCGGGTCTTGAATTCCGATTTTAATTTATATCTGCTACTGACCCGAGCCGACATACGAATGGAAATTAAATAATGTACACGCGAATTAATTACACTATACAACTTGACATTTCGTATTTGTATGAATTAAAAAATAATGTATTATATCAAAATTTTGTTTTGTTTGCCACTTTGTGATTCAAAAGTGATTTGATTTGAGTACTGGCAGTAAAAGTAAAATTAGAAGCATTTCATATATATATTTTGACGTTCATACACAATGTATACTACATTGTGTTTCCCATATGAATAAATGATTTTGAATTTTGATTACTAAAATTTTGCCGGGTATCTTGAGCTAGTTTAAAAAACTCCTCGGGGAATGTGATGCCGGTCCACTCCAGTACGTTCCGAAACCACGACGTCTTCCTTCTACCAGCCCGTCTCTTGCCTTGAATTTTGCCCATCGTTATAAGCTGTGACAAGTCGTTTTGGTTGGACAAGTGGATTACGCAAGTCGTGTCTGAGATATGCGACTTTCCGTATTTTAACAGTCTGCATAAACTTTCGTGTCGTCCCTATGTGTGTTAGCCAAAGACGATGTTAGATAGAAGTTAAATTATTTATATTTAAGAGACGATAGAAGACAAATAATTACAGTAAAGTTTTCAATAATTACAGATTCTGAAGTTACCAAAAAGTTTCGTTACAGCTTCTGGATAATACAAAGCATACCACGTCAATATTTGGGTACAATTGTTTGTCATATGCCAAAACTTTACATTTTTCTCCTCTGTATATTTAACATGAGCAGAGTTGGCCTAGTAGCTTCAGCTTGTGACTCTTATCATTGAGGTCTTAGGGTTGATCCCCGGCTCTGCACCAATAGACTTTCTGTCTATATGCGCATTTAACATTCGGTCGAAGGAAAACATCGTGAGGTAACCGGCATGCCTTAGACCCAAAAGTCGATGGCGTGTGTTTTCACAGCAGGTTGATCAGACTTGCCTATTAGATTGACAAATGATCATGAAACAGATACAGAAATCTAAGGCCCAGACTTAAAAAGGTTGTTGCGCTTTTTTTATATTTAACACGAGAAAATATGTTTAAAAAGTCGACTTATCACAAATGTCACCCCGTGTGTGATTCTTGGTGAACTTTTTGAAACTCAGGTACATATTTTAAAGTTATAAATATTTGGAACTGGTAAAAGAGAGACCAAATATAAAGCCTCATACGTGATATGTATTTTGGTTACCTTATTTTGAAACCGGGGAAAGTATAATTTGCTAAGAAGAAGCGAAAAGTCTTATACAGAATGTCTAACAAAATTGCGTTACGTGGAATTTATTGCTGAATTTGAACATTTAAAAAAGGACTCACCTTAACCTAACATAATAATTGTAGAACTTTTTGTGAGCTTTTTACGTTACATTTGGCGCAACAACTTTTAGAGTAACGGTGCTTATTTGTAACCTACTTTGGCAATTCATGTGTCTAAAAACGATTAATTCCATGCAGAAATATATTTCTAAGACCATAAAACATGTTTAATAATGAAGTAAGAAAATACCATTTTCATCGATATTCAATAAAAACAAAGAAATTTTTCATTGAGGGTTGGTAGATAAAATAATACACCAGACGCTTTAAATATGCTTTGGCAAATGTAAGCTTCGTTTTTAAGTTTTATTAGCTTTCTGCAAGTTAAGTGAGTAAATTACCATCTCTGCATTTATCTAGAATCTTAATTAGTTAAACGAAGAACTAATTAAAATATCTCTTTGTAATTCCTTTCTACATAAGCGAATAGTGGTTTTATTTGTAGTTGCTATTTTAAACAAAAGGTGATGCAAGAAACAAGTTTTTTAAATTTTGAAATCGTAAGTCATTTTCCGTCGTCTTTACCGCTTTGTTTTACACGAACAATGTCTCGCTGACAATATTATGTAGAATTGAAGTGTAGATTAAAAAGCAAAACTTTAATGGGTGAAATCCTTTTAAAAACTAGCAATTAGTTAACTGCTACTAGCAATAGTAGCACATTTGTCAAAAAATTTACGTAATTTAAATATTTATTTCCCTAGGTAGGAATCAAACTAGGAAATAATAATTATAATTGTGATCAAATGTAGGAAAGCAAAGGTGAAATAAAAATTGAAATGTCTCAAATAGACTAGGTTCACGTATTGTTTTTAATGTTTTCGGTAATTATTCACAAAAACGAAAAGAAAATACCTTATTTTTGATACAGATTCCTAGTTATAGTTATAGTAATAATACTTATTTTTAACCATATTTGGGATTTATTGAAAAAACGACTCGAGAAAAAGTCGTTAGTTTTACTATCAAAATATCATAGTAAAACTTATAAAAACATTAAACATTAATTTGAATAGTTTAATTTCTAATAAAAAATTAAAAACATAGATTTTGAAAAATAACGTTCAATCCGCTAAGTACAAAACTTTATTGTCATATTATTTTGTCAAAAATATCGAAATTTCATGCTTTATAGCTTTTTTATATTTTTTAGTACCGTACATATTAACTCTTCATTTTTCTATTAATGTCCCGAGCATATTATGCAACGTTAACAAACATCGCAGTACAAATGTGACATTGTACTTTACATAAAGGATTTGTTTCACATTAGCTCTAGTCTTGCATTAGCCTCGGGATACAAAAGCTTTTCCATTTTCTGCACTAATGAAAAGTCAAGTTAACAGGGAATTACATTTCAATGTTGTTTCAACTTTAGTCATATCGCTTGTCGCGAACCAGATAACCTGGACTAGGTTGCAGGAATGGTGGAAGGCAAAAGACCGTGGGAAAATATCGACCTGCAGGTGTCAAAAAAAAACAAAATCATTTATTCATATAGGTAACACAACCATTCTCGCATAAAGTACAGAGATATCACAAGCAGGCACCTAACAGACTGGAACTAAAAAATAGGGGTTGATCGTAGAGGGGTTGTGTGTATTATTATATGTTGTATCATAAAAAAATGAAAAAAAAAATTTATTTATTCAAAAAAATAAAAATAAAAATTTGAGGTCGACAACCCTCTCAGGGTTTGAAAGATAGATAGTAGCCGACTTACTGAATATGCATAAAAAATTTCATAAGTTTCGGAGGAGTATGGGAACGAACATTGTGACACGAGAATTTTATATATTAGACTATAAGGGTCGATGTAGGGAATTAAGTGAACACGTCCATCTCGTATGATATCTCGTGTATATTAAAAATATATACGTATGTTATAGGTAATTTATTTTATACTGACACCTTACGAAGAAGAACTGAATTAGACGAAAGAAATTCCTCCGAATCTAAAGCAAATTGTATTTTCAAAACGGACTTTAATTTTTAGTTTTACAATTTTAATGTGATTCTTACATTAAACAAACGGCACAAATATAAGAGTCTTTCCTCCAACTTCAATTTTGTTCCCTTTGGAGTAGAGACTCTTGGGCCGTGGGGTTCAAGTGCACAGGCGCTTATTAAAGATTTAAGTTGGCGCCTGGTAGATAGTACCGGTGACCGCAGAGCTGGCACTTTCCTGGCTCAAAGAATAAGTCTCGCAATACAGCGAGGAAATGCTGCCAGCGTTAAAGGTACACTGCCACAGGGACCAAACTTTTTAAATTTGTTTTGATTTTCATTTTATTTATTTTTAATTATTTTTATTATTACTTTATAGGTTAAGAAAATTGTAAATACTGTATTTTTGTAAACAATTGTATATATTTTAGTTTTCTTACATTAGTTTATTTAAGTGAAGTTTGTTTATACGACTTTCAATTAAACGTTTCTTGGATGAAAAGATAACGTTGTAAACTTACTTAATAGTTCTACTAGTCTCTGACTGGCATTTCTGTCTACTTTTTGGCTAAAAAACGCGAGAAGAACTTTATGTAATGAATTTAATCAAAAATATTGTTTCAGCTGCTCCGTGAACTGGCACGAGCAATCAATGAACACACTAACATACATACTGTTCCTCTTCGCAATGGGCCAGATCGTACCGTTGTCTGTCATCACCTTTAGCTACGTCAACATCATCAGGACTATGAAGAGGGTATGTATTATTCGACTGTTCAATTAACAAAATCCAAGGCCAATCGACACCTAACAGGTGTGGTACATTAGACTTTTAATAACAGCAAACGGAGGCTCATCTGATGATAAGTGTAATATGTATTATAGTGATGCCCATGGACACTCACATTGCCAGAAGGCTCGCAAATGCGTTGCCGGCCATTTAAGAATTGGTACGCTCGTGATGGAACCTAAGTCGAATTGGTTTGGAAATCCTTCAGTGGACAGCTGATTCCACATGTTGGTGGTGCGCGACAAAAACTGCCTTAAAAAACGGTCAGTTGTGGAACGACGGATGTTGGTGATAGGGATGGTATTTCGTATTCTGCCTTGAGGTCCGATGATGACAGGGTTGCAGGTATTAATCTGAACAACTCCTCTCGTTTCCGAAACCCTTAATAAATATAATATAATAATAATTAACTATGGCTAATAAATTGGCTTCATAAAGACTGTTGATAGCATCGAATTGAGAGCGCCTTAATGAGCCCCTATTTACAAATAATTTGCAACTACGTTCAGGTACGTCATGTAGCAAATATCAAAAGTCAAAGCGTTATCAAAACGATGAACAAATATTTGGATAACATTGACAAACATGATTTTTAAATGTTTTTCTTTATAAATAACTCATCATAAATGCTGGCATTATATTAGTAATTCTAAGACCCACCAACTGGCAGTATGGTTGATTACGTAAATACTTGGTATTTCGTGCTTTTTTATGTGATAGAGCTTGATTTTTATCGAATAGCAATCGATTGAAATTTTCTGGTGTTCTGGTTTACGCGATTGTTAAAAAACACGGAATAATTAGCTTTAGTAGCTTAAGGGTCTATTTCACAATGTATGGATAAAGTACCAAATAGCTATGCAACACATAAATTATTTGGAAGATAAATTGTTATATTTGACATTCATCGGACTCATAACTTATGATGGACTTTATGTGACAAACAGCGCTATCTGAAAGTCGTGAAACGCAACAATAGTTTTTATCCTACCAATAAGTAATAAATAGCTAATTTGGAACTTATGTAGAACTTATCCGTACATTGTGAAACAGACCCTAAGGGCCATTTAATAAAGCCACTGATAACTAAATATTTTGATAAGCTCAGCATGGATTTTAAACTAAATTTAAAATAAAAAAATTTTTAAATGTAATTTTAAATTTTTTAACAACAATTTATTCCAGCAATTATATAACTCGACTTTTACGGAATCGTGGTTAGCAAGACTCGGTCTTACAAGAAGTTTAGTTTCAACTTTCTTGCTTGGTTTAGTTGTGAATCTAAGATATATTTTAGTGAACGACTCTAAGTGGAAGTCGCGACTGTTTGTTCTCTGTGTATCATTGCATTTAATGTTTGGTGCTATGCAATAAAGCGTACGAATAATTAATCAGTTTAATTACAATTAACTTTGGTAGTCAGAATGAAAAAGTCTCATTTGATATTCTTGCAATCATACAAGTATAAGCTCCAATATAACTTCGCAAAAAACAGGAACTGTTATTAAAAATGGTATGTTCAATGGACCGGGGACTGATGCATTATGATCCTTGCCAACTACAACTAGAATTAGCCCTCACTAATTAGCATTATTAACCGTAATATTGTTGCTTTATCTCCAAACAGTTCATTTGTTAATAAGTTTCATTCTACTAATTGTAAGTATGTAGTTTAAGTAGGGAATGCAATTCCGATCTAGCGGGATCTCACGCCATTTTTCGAGATCAATCCGGAAGCATAACGAGATCTCGTAGGATTAACGAGAATAGTAGTAGAAGTGGCAGTATCAGAAAACGAAAACCAAGATAAATGGAATATATCAATGATTGCAGAGGATTTACAAACATGATGATTTGTAAACACATCATAAATTTTCATCGTGTTTTGGAAAGCTACTCGAGATCTCGCAAGATTGTAATTATTAATCCCACGAGATCTCAAATTAACGATCTTGACTCGAGATTGCATTCCCGAAGTATTAGTTTCTGAACTCTGAAGTTGTGCTTGCGAACACTGCTTATGGTGCCTACTACACAAGCAGTGTTCGTACGATTTCGATTTCCCGACCATACCAGCCACCACAAGTCACTACTTGTGGAGGTATCTTTGGCGATTAAAAAGAGCGGCGGAAAGTTTATTTCCTGCCCTGCGATTCTGTAACTCACTTTTCGAACTCACACAGCGGTTTTCGCATCGGCGGTCGCTCTCAAATCAGTCGTGAAGCAGTCATTTTACGATTTGGCATTCTGATAAACAATAAACTACAAGCTCCCACCTTTTCAGAATGTCAAATCGTAAAATGACTGCTTCACGACTGATTTGAGAGCGACCGCCGATGCGAAAACCGCTGTGCGAGTTCGAAAAGTGAGTTACAGAATCCCAGGGCAGTTCTTCTCTTCCGTTCTACGCCCTTGATTTGAGAACTGGCAGTAAATGTAAAATTAGCATCATTTCATATATATTTATTTTTTGACGTTCATAAGTGTACATTTTGTTACCTATATGAATGGTTTTTGAATTTGAATTTGCTACCTTCTTTGTAAATATTTTAAATTAATATTATACATGTTTTTACGTTCTTAAATTAAGTTTTATAGAAAAGTTGTGATGTACATTTTAATAGGATGTTCTAAATCTAGATGAAACTAACCCTAATTAATAGATTCCGCCTAAAAACTAAACACTAGGAATACTGAGGATTTAAACTAATTTACCGACGTAATTTAGGATTGGTTCATACTTTATCACGATCCAAGGCAATTTAAACAGTTTTGAACATTACTTAAAGTCCTTTAAGCACATGTTTACTTCTATCTACATACGTTGTAGTGGATTTTAGAAAAGAATATAGGATTATGTGTGTGTCAAGCCCGAAACATCTTGTTTTGCCAGGAATTGAGTCCAATGTAGAGACTTGTTAAGCAGTACTAAGCCACAATATTAGCGGAATATTTGATTTCTCGAATCTAGGCTATTATTAATGTTAATTTGATCTATCAATACTCAAAAAACGGGCCTATGAAGTCTGTTCTGCCCCTGAGAACATTTAAAGCAAAGTAGATTGCGATTCCTCTTTCCGTAGTTCAAGTGATTCATGCTCAACTTGCCCAGCAAAAACGCAGATAAGTATTACTAGTGATGTTATTATGGGAGAAAAAAAATGGGACTTTTCTATATTAAATAAGAGCTTATTTATAGTTATAATATTATTGACTGCCACTGAAAAATAACTGCAATTAATCTTTTTTTTATCTTATTTATTGAGAAAGATTTACAGCTTTTAACTAACTTACTACTAAATATAATTATTTTATTATTTTTGACATATAATTAAGTACTTAACGATTAACTGGATTGGTTACAATATCATTTTAATCCAACTATATTTATCAAAGAACGCAAAAAACTAACTAAACTAACTAAACAGTGTAACATACTGACAGTGCTGCTGTATAAATTACGTCTTTGACTTTCTCATACTTTAAAAAAGCGCTTTCTTGTAATATCATTGCATTATCATGTCAATCATTCGTAATTAAATTCAACTTACACTAGTATTTAGTTGAGTTGGATCTAAAATATGCCTGTTTAATATATATTTTCTTCAGTGTATTGCGCACATAGACACGTCGAGTAATGTACTACTCCACGCACTCCACTTGGTACGAACGTACAACGTAAAAACGGGTTCATTAAAACCGAATATCCTGCACTAAATCATGCGTCATCATAATCAAGAACACTATACGTACATTCTTATGTAATGGAAAAGGTTTTAGCCAGATTTATTATTTCATGCAGAACAAATTTAATAACTGGAATATTTTCAACACATTAATATCGTCTGATAAGTGGAATTCATTTGAAAAAAAGCGAACTAAAAATCCGTTGAAGAATACATTCATTGGAGCTGTAAAATATTTTATATTTGGAGTCTTCTACGAAATAATAAGTATTACTGTATCACAGTATTGTAGTATTTCAAAGGAATTATTCATTTCAATGAATTTTCAATGCTTTGATAATATAGAATTAACCTCGTGATTTTATTCGCCAGCTTTGATCTGAATAAAATATACGCTTCTCTTAATAGGGACAGGTACAATCATTCAATGTCATAAATAATACCTGTTAAATACCTTCTTATAAATACTAAATGTATATTTAATCATTGTTTTATTGTTTTTGTAGACAATTAATATAAAACAAGCGAACTATGCCAATGTGAATGAATGAAAAATTGTGTTAACATTAGGACCCTTCATAACAATTATTTATTAAATAAATCAATTTGTTTTTGTCTACAGAATTCGCAAAGGCTCGGTCGAGTTCGCGTGAGTCGCGCCGAATCACGGGCGACCGCAATGGTTTTCATAATGATCATCTCATTCACTGTTGCTTGGACACCTTATTCACTATTTGCTCTTATGGAGCAATTCGCCTCTGAAGGCATTGTAAGTATAACCACCCTGAACCTGTAAATGTGCTGCCTGTCCTTGTAGCAATACAGCTGATGTGTTACATGTTCCGACCGACTGTCCAATGTATGGATACGACAGGTAATAACACTGAACAAGCTATGAGCATAAAAGTAACAGAGATGAATGTTCAACATTAGCTTAAGAGGCATCTTTTTGGGATTTGCTGTAAAGGTCATAGAAAAAGTTAATAAAGGAAATAGGTAGTAGTGTTTAATCATCTTTACCAATACCATTTACGTAAGTTATTTAATACCTCCGACGACTACATGGTCGGGGAATTATCTAGAAAACATTAAAAAAGTATAACCATAATTTTATTTAAACTTTTAAAGTCTTGAATAACGTGCAATCTATAATTTAAAATGGAGGGAATCTCTGAGAGATAAATTCAAGGAAATTAATATACTTATCTTTCCCTCGCAATATATTTATAAAAATATTTTCTATGTATATACAAAAATAGCGATAAGTTTACTAGAATAGAACATACGCACAATGTTAATACTCGGAACAAACACAGGCTGCAATTTCCCCGTACTAGACTATCTAAAGTTAGTAATTCTTTTTTGGAAAAAGGGATACTCTTCTTTAATAAAATCCCAGGCTCTTTTATCTCTGCCTTTTAATAAAGTTAAGAAATGTATTAAAGAAAAGCTGTGTAAAAAGGCTTACTATAAAGTTAACGATTATCTAGTTGATAAAAGGGCCTGGGACTAGTGCTAGACAGGCTACTTATAATTAATTTGCGATATTCGTTTTAAAATAAGTGTTTTTGATGATTTGCTATTTTAAAAGAGAACCAAGAGTTTTTTACACCGGCTTTTTCTCTCGGCCTACACCCTCTGTCTTCTTTGCCGATGAGTAGGGATGCTTACCTATTCAAATTTAATGACATGGAATAAGTGATACCTGTATCGGATATTCCATAATAAACATATTTATTTTATTTTTTTACATTTTCAGATTTCTCCCGGGGCTGGAGTGATTCCAGCATTAGTAGCCAAGAGCTCTATCTGTTACGACCCCCCTCATATACGTCGGCATGAATACTCAAGTAAGTTTAGTCCTATTATCAGATCAATGTTTACTATGTCTTGCTAATATCACTTAATTTTCAGTTTCGGCAATCAATCAAGAGAATATTTGGCGTTCATTCAAAATGTCAATCTCCAGCCACCAAAGGATACAACACTGCTATTTCACCGGCGCATAAATTATCCGCCTTTAATGATATCACAGTTCGATTCAACACATCAGAGACTAATTTACCCAGTACTCCCAAAAAACTCAAAGACAGAGCACAAAACAATGACGAATCAGATTTGTCAAATGATTCCAATCGCTTCCCGAATAAAATGGAACTAGGAACAATACAAGAAACAAAAACTATCTCGGACTGCGAGAGATCAGCTGACACGGCTTATGATGAAGATAGCAGTAAGAAGATAGACTCTGACCATTCACCAACTCTAATAATAGACAAGGATCGTCTGATATTTACCAAAAGAAAAAATGAAAATCTTGCTTCAAGCGATGATAGCACGTCGTCAAAGGGGCTGTTTAAAGAGACAATAGTTAGTCAATTTATTGACAAAGACAGTGTTAAACTGGAGAAAAATTGTAACGTGTAGCTAGATTATCAATATAATTTCGAGGGAACAAAGATTTAGCACAATTATACGCTGTAGTAGAAATATAAATATTGTTATGTTTAGAGAAGTTTGCCTGAACGAACGAGTATTTTTACATGAATGAAGGATCTGTGATAGAAGTTAACAGTGCCAATTTAAACGACGTGTATAGTATTTTTCTAATAACGAATTTATGCGTAGCGTAATTGTAACATTTACTAAGTACTTTTTTGGAAACAAACACATCAACACATCATACTAACGCAAATCTATATACGAGCAACCCAGTAAACGTACTTTCTTCGCCCAACGCTTTTTCTCCTACCGATGCCCTTTCATCTTTAACCACTTTCTTAAAAACAAAATATTCACTAACATTTCAGAATTCACGTTACATACATTCACTAAAAATCTTAAACAACATCTCGTCAACCTGTCCTATGCTGATACTGAAAATATTTTTATTGTGCAAAATAGATGAATTATAAATTGTGCTATGTAGAAATTATTGTCAAGTACATACAGTTAACAAGACTGGCTGCCCACAACACAGGGAATCCCAGTGCACTTTAATTGTATAATACTCAATACACAGTAATTTAAATTACACACAATTAAAGAGAGCTATCATAGTTATACCATTATACTTTACTTTGTCTCACATAATGTCAAAAATCTGAAGTAATAAGTATATCTCCACGTGTAATAACTGAACGTTACAGTATGAACTTTCTTCAACATATACATTCTGTCGACGCTTTTTGTCCATTTATTTTTTTTGCTTTCTAAAAGTTTTTTTTTAATTTGTCTCGAGAATTCTTAGTTACTATAGTATCGCATTCACCTACTATTTTTGTTAAAAATTAAATACATATTTTCATAATAAGACAATACGTATGAATATAAATATCTAAGCCTAAAAAGCGATATACAAATATTACAAAATTATGATTGCTATATATATTCGTATATAATACATTTTATGAATTATCATATTATTAAACTCATGGTCTGATGTTTGATTATAAATGGAATGGAATTCCTATATTTGCTCCATTACTTCACGTTTATGGATTAAGCGGTTCGAGGATGTTGAGCCGTGCCTAAATTAAATTACCCACATAAAAATCGATCAAGTTAAAGCACATTTTTTGTTATAGCACTATAACAAAAGTCAAAAGTCATAACTCATTTATTCATGTAGGTAACACAATGTACACTTATGAACGTCAAAAAAAAGAAATATACATTGAATGCTTATAATTTTACATTTACTGCCAGTTCTCAAATCAAGGGCGTAGAAAGGAAGAGAAGAACTGGCAATAAACTCTCCGCCACTCTTTTTAATCCCCAAGTTTTTTGTTTTACACAACGTTTGTAAGGAGCTGCAACCATTACACCATGTTCCACATGACATCTTAAGTAATAAATAATAATAAAATAAATTAAAAACAAAGATTTGTCCTCTATCAGCAGGAGGCATCGTGAAATAGGAGCACGCACTTACAAAGTCGAAACAACTAACATCACCGCATGTAACACGAATTCAAGTACGATCAGTCACCACAACCGCTATCGTATAGATTAATTTCTATACATTCAAACACAATAACACACTTATTATAACAACAAATAATTATGGTCGCAAATGTAATTAGTTTTCCTTTTTAAGGCACTTTCGGATATTCGTCATGCCTAATTTCGTCAAAAGTGTATCTGAACTTATATAATCCGTCCATTACCAGTTATATAGAATTCATCTATGTACTCAAACGGTATAACGGCATACAGGCGGATTACGATGATTTAATAAAAAGCATGTGGCGTGAATTCATGGAAAATCAAAAAGCCATTAAGTCCCAACAAAAAAAAAAGATTTTTGTAAGGGTATTTGATATGTTCTTTTCAAGAAAATTTGTAAGTTCTTATCAAGTTACAAAAAAAACTTATTCGCTAAATTTGTACTCTAAAATATCGTTTTATGAATTATGATAATTGAATATTGTAAGTTTTATAAAATATTTGTCTATTTCTTGGATATTTGAGGCTTAAATAAATCAATTTTATAATTAAGAAAGTTTGTAAAACGAATTGTGTCCAGCTAGGATAACTTATGAGATATTCTTGAAACTATAAATAAAGCATTTTTGCTAAAGGCTGTTTTTTATTTTACATATAGTGGAAGCTTAGTTATATCATGAATATCAAGATCCTTCCTTTTTCCTCTTGGTTGTCCTGAGAAATGAAGCCGGAAGTAACCACACATGACATCTTATATACGTAATACTTCCTTGTTCTTACTCTTAACTAAACTTAGGCAAGTTTCATGGCAGACGAATATATATATATACATTTTGACATGATAGTGTTTATATGAGATAACTTTTTAAGAGCCGGCTATAACCACAATCGCTCATCGTAGATTTGATTGATGTAAGTATGTGATGTTTGAATTAAAAACAATAAATTTGTTGACTCTAATTAAAAACACAATACAATATAAATTCAACAAAAGCAGTAAGGGCAGGACTCGCGAGACTGAAGAAGAGACTGAATAGGAACATTGTTGGAGAAGTGGCTACGCTAGTTCTCTCGCGAATTTTTACATAAGGTGAATAAAATAAGACCCGCACCTCAAGCGTCGAGGAGGTTAAGAATGTTATAATATATAAAGAGATTATTTGTGTGAGCAGTGTTAGCCTAGTGGCTTCAGCGTGCGACTCTCATCACTGATGTCGTAGGTTCGACGATCGATCCCCGACTGTGCACCAACGGCCTTTCTTTCTATGTGCGCATTTAAAATTCACTCGAACGGTGAAGGAAAACATCGTGAGGAAACTGGCTTGCCTTAGACCCAAAAATTCAACGGCGTGCGTCAGACACAGAAGGTGCCTTCTTGCCTATTGGATGACCAAATGATCATGAAACAGATACAGAAATCTGTGGGCCAATCATAAAAAGGTTGTAGCACCATTGATTATTATTATTATTAAAAATTTATGTGTAAAAAAATTACAAAACCTAACAAAACGCTATCATAACCAATAACCATATGTAATTTTAATCGTAGTAATTACATTACAATGTAGGGCACATAATAGGATTATTTGGGACGATATCATAAATTGACATAAATAAGAAAGATCTAAGAGATAGTGGTTTCCTTTGCGTCGGGGATTAAATCGCGTAACGAAGCTCGCGTTCTTCAAATATAATTATACCCTTTAATTACAATTAGGAAAAAATTGTTTCGTTTCATTAAAACAGAAACACGACGCCGAATCCGTCATAATGAACGTTAGCTTGTGTTTCGTAATTAACAATACAATGTTTTGTAATTAAATAAAGTCTGTGATTTTACGAAATGTTATGTAAGCATTTAATTGACTTTCGGGTGAAAATAAATCACCAATTTATGTACTAAAACGGCTGTATATAAGAGCAATGTTGGTCTAGTAGTTAAGTGTGCGATTTTTAACGCTGAGGTGCATCAATCAATATTTGGGCGCAATTAAAATAGCTCCTTGGATGTAAACTTTGTAGATGGATGGTCCGTCGTGCACTATCTTATTTCATAATCATCCGACTATGTATGTATGTATGTATGTACCTAGTGTGGACTAAGTTTCCGCCCTAGACGCCCATTTGGTCAGGTATGCGTAAAGTTGGCTAATCAAGCAACCTAGCTCTTTCCAGAAGCTCAAGTTTCTTAGGCACTTCGCAGGCTTCAAGCTTGCGTCAACGATAGGGATATTGAGAGAACTACAGCACATACTTTTCTTGGCCGGTAAGAGTCAGCCAGTATTGCCAGTAAATAAAAATTAATAAAATAAGAGGAATAATTTGAAGTCATGCAAGCTAACTTAATAATTTATTGAAATGTCTTAATAAAACAATGTATACTAGTATCGAAAATACAGTTCTACGCTTAAATAAATGCGACACAAAGATAGGAACAACTTGTATGATAGGTTTGTTACCTGTATTAATAATATCTTTTAAGATACATAGCAATCAGAACCGTTCGATAATTATAACTTTGTATGTAATTAAATGCAAGGAATAAAAATAAATACATGTTAGTTGGATTTTATTATATTTTGGTAGATAGTAAAATTATTCATTGTACGCGCCAAGAAATTACAGAAAATAAACAATGTCAGTCTGCCATTTCAAAATGGCGATGGTAGTACCAATGTCAGAATTCCATAGCCAATTAGGCTCCATAGACACAACTCAATAAGATACTAAAAATATCATAAATCTACTGTTACAATAGGGAATTTAGCTGTTGTAATAAATCAAATAAAACACACAATAATTTTCAATTTTATTTAAATAATCTATTCACTGTATTATATATTATACGCTTAAGCAATACTGAACAAAATAATAAACATTTACAAGACAAAACTATAGTTATTTTAATAAATAATTGAATTCCATGTCCACGGTAACAGATTATTAATTAATATTTACATTTAAAACTAAACAGAATCACTATTAATCTCATTATGTAAGATTAAAAAATATTGTATAATTATATCAAAAACGTCGAAGTTAATATTCAAAATTATTCCACCGTTAGGAAAAGGATTCAATTCCAAACCTTCACAATTCCAATATTTCCACACCAGAATATATCCCAAGTCCCTATATAAAGGTATGGGGCAGACCGCATACTACATTCTTCCGTGATTGGCCATTTTAATAAAGATATTCCAATTTCTATTGTCAATAACACTCAATATAAGAAACAATTATTAATCTACAGCCTAGACTAGCAATTGTCCTATTTTTATTAATCCATTACATAAAACCTTTATGGCTTTATGCGAGTCAAAAGTCAACAAGCATAGATAGTAGAATTTATAACTGACATTGACAGGTTGAAAGAGGACACTCCGTGAGTTTGACAATCTTTACAGTAGCTGGTTTAACGCAAAACTTATGTTAATATGCGACGAAAACGTATTTTTTTCATTAAAATTACAAGACAAATTGATAAGTTCCCTCTTCTATTTAGGATGTCGGGTTATAAAAGATCTTGGTAGAGCTACAGGGCCTTATTCTTTAAATAAATCTTTTACGTCAGAGCCATTGGGCAGTACAAAAGTGAACTTCAATGTAATCTTTAAGTACTGGCGATAAAATCTTTGTCAAACTCATAGAAAACATAGCTGCTTTGATATAAATTAAAATGGGATATTTATTGCCTCATGTTACGGTATATTTTACAATATACAGCCATATATTTTATTTCTTTTAAAACTTACTTATTTCAAATCTCTATGGATTTTCGATCCATCTTTCACTTGTCAATACAACTCTTCTCTATAGTCTATGTTATACGAAATCAATCTGAGCAAATACCAATTAAAAAGAAACTATATCAAATCTTTTGCTGTGTTAAAATGAGCAAAATAAATCAATGGAATAAATACAGTCTTAATAATTGTTCAGTCAGTATGAAAATTTATAAAAACGTATAAAACGGAGTCTGGTTTTGATTGATGTATCCACGAAAATTAATCAATGTCCCAATTTAAATATAGGCAATAACGAAGTTTCCAATCATCAATTTCAATATTTCGTGACGATTAAAAATTCCGCTAACACAAATAAAAAATTAATCTAATATATCACTTGTATAAGATTACACTGATCCCAAAAGGTAAATTCAAATCCATTACAAAATCCATTTTTCACAAAATTCCTAAACGCTACGATCAAAACTTTCCTTACATTATATTATAATGGGAATATATATTTCGTTAGGTCACTGGTGTAAATTTACGTCAAATTAATGAACAGCCTTTAATGGATTCCAGACATAATTCTGTAATAGGCCGCCAATTCATTTTGGTCAACAAATTTAAATCAGTCTACTCGGCATTAATTCCATTATGAGAATACCTTTATATATACAACACATGCATTAATACATTTCCAACTGTCTTAGTCAATTAATAATACAATACAGAATACGTTGATAATACATTCCAGAATAATACAAAACATAATGTGTTGAAACAATTCCAAATATTTCAATACTTCGTTTTACAATGCAGATCTCTGGAAAATTATAAGACTGTCTTAGTCAAGATCCATACGATATGTGGTAATACAATACAGAATACGTCGATAATACGTTCCAGAATAATACAATACAGTCTTAGCGTTTTTGCCTTTCTCTCGAGTCCTCCCTACAAATGCCTCTAGGTGGGGAATCACGTCCTTTGTGACTAGCTTTTGAGGTCTTCCTGGACCTTTTGAACTTCGCGACGTCATCTCCGAATACGTCACCGGTCCTCAAAGCTGAGATGAGGTCATCGAACTCACCCTTTTGGCCATTTGTGAGGGTTCCGTCACGTGAGGTGTCGCCGTTCGCGTGTCCGTTGCAGTCCTTACCGAGGGATTTGCCGACAGAACCGAGCAGGCTTGAGCCCTGTTTACGCTCCATTGTACGTTTTTTAAGCTGAAAATATAAAAAATTATAAAATATTTTTTTTTGTTCTAGTCTCAAAGTTTTAAACTAATAAAATACAGTCACTAAAATTTTCCCTTTTTTACATAAAATATTTGTATTTTATTTTTTTATTCATATAATATATTAAATAATCATGAATATATCAAATCTTTTTTTTATCTCCCTTAACTTACCTCCTGTTCATGTCGAGTTCTCCTCTCCTCTTCATCCCGTCTCCTCCTGGTAGCATCACATTCAGCCCTTGCTTCCACCAGCTGTGTTAAGAAGCTGTCCAAAGCTCCGAACAACAATTCAGGCGACGCTGATGGCTCTTCGCCGAACGCGTGCGCACACGCTTCTAAACGGCTCTTCATGTCCTGAAAATTTATAAAAATAGTAACAAATTTTTAATTATGGATTTTAATTATTTTAAAATTGATACTATTAAACACTTTAACTCACAACGATCTAAAAAAAACTTAATTATCTACAAAAAAAATCTAAAAAATAAGACAATACCTGGAAAAGATCCTCAAGTTGCGTAAACGAGCATACAGCGTGCGCATGGAAGTCCCTCATGACAGACAAAAAGGCGTCGTGGGACTGCGCAGGCGCAGGCAACGAAGCGTGGTACTCCAATTCACGGGAAACTTCGCGAAGACCTGTTCTTAGAGCACTGACATCCTTCTCCAGCTGCTCGATGCAGACTTTGGCTGCTGCTCTTACATGGGGTAAGTCTTCTTCTATTAGGAGAACATCTTTGAACTGCAAGAATTTGTTTTTTTTTATTGTGATTTTAATTTAATTTGATATGAAACTCTAATCAAAATATTTTTAAACTAAAGTACTTTGAAGTGTGAGGTTCGATATTCGTCAAAACAATATTTCTGCATCATCTTGTTCACCTCGTCGATGGAAGAGTTAAAAAAAAACAAAAACTACTAAGGGAACCAATATTTGTTTGATTACCTTATTTTAAAAAATTGAAGAATATTCCAAAGCACAAGAGAAAGAAGAAAAGTTATTCTTAAATACCTAATGAAATTGAATAAGCATTACCTGTGTCTCCAGCATTTCCACAAGGTAGTGAAGGAGCGTGGTGTTTCTCGTTACACTCGACTTGGTATCAGCTAACTTGTTCAGAGAAGACAACCGGAAACCGGATGCATTGCCACGAGCACCGCTGCCGTACAATTATTCGTTGAATACATATTGCAAATGAGTGGAAATAAAAAAAAAAAAATCATTGACGCTACAACTTTTTTAGGTCTGGGCCTCAGATGTGTCTGTATCTGTTTTACGATCATTTGTCAATGTAGGTATGTAGGTGATCAGCCTCCTCCGCCTGACACACGCCGTCGAATTATGAGTCTAAAGCTATTTCGGTTTCCTCACGATGTTTTCCTTCACCGTTCGAGCGAATGTTAAATGTGCACCTGGAAAGAAAGTCCATTGGTGCACAGCCGGGGAAGAGACTCGCGCGCTGAGGCCACTAGGCCAACACTGCTCTTTTAGTGATAAGGCCGCCCTAATATATATTTACCTTCCAAATAGCATAGGGTTAATAAATATAAGTCAAGTAAAGTCAAACATTGTAACTCACCGGTTCATATAATTTCCCAAAGCTAAAACGATTTCCAGAAGAGTCCTAAGTCTTCTAGAACGAGTCAGATCCCTAGCAGCACGAAGAACAACAGATGCGCGAGCGCTGGCTTCAGCCACCGCAGCTGAAAACTTCTTCTTGAATAGTAATGTTCGGACGCGTTGGTGGTAATGAGGGATTCTGGAAATGTAAAGAGACAAAAATTAATAATTTTATTCGCATAGGACTCGTTTTTGTTACCCATTCTTGATTGGCAAATTGAATAATTCAGTAACCTAGTATGTTTATAAGATTGACAAAAGCTGAACATTTGTATACAAATATACTAGTCTAGTCGACAAGTTGAAAATGGAACAGAATAGAGATACTGCTCTTAAAATTATGTGCGATAGCTCATTGGATCCGGAATGACGTCTAGAAAAATGTGCTAAAAGCGTGTATTAGCACATAAAAAATTGCAAAAGTTATAGACAATTAAAGATGAAAAAAAAATGGCATTTAGTTTATTGCCAATATTTAATTAACTATTAATATTTAAGAAATTTCAAATAAAGATTCTGAAAGAGGATTTTGATTTTTTTTTTTGAGGAAATTTCCAATAAAAAACTCCTAACTCCCGGAACTCTATCTCCATTATTTATAATTTTAATTTAACGCTGAAAATAGGTCTGCGGGTGAAATTTTTAGGATTCGCGCGTGGCGTCAAAAGCGACTACGGCACATTTATTAATTTATTTAAGGTATTGAATATTTTTTTTTAAATTTGAAAAAATTATGGTGTGTTCTGAACACTATAATTAATTTATTCCCGTTGAAAATTTTACTTAAAGTTTATTTTTCAACAAGTTAAATAATTGTTAACTAACGAAATTTTCTCGAACGACCGTCTTAATTGTAAGTGAAAAAAAATGTTTAAATAATGGTCGTAAAAATATTTCGCTTCGTAGAGCCTTTCTTACATACATACTTAACAAGATCGTGCCATAAAAGTTAAAAAAATATTTATACTTTGTTTATAACAATTTTTTTACTTAAACAAAAACTTATAAATCCATGTAATGTTGTTAAAAAATTTTTTTTTTCTAAATCATCATATAATCGTTTTTTTATTAATACAAGATATTTATTGATTTGCAAAAACAAATTCCCGCCATTTGTTGATAATTTTTTCAGAATTTCATCTCTTTCATCTCCTCTTTCAGAATCTTTATTTGAAATTTCTTAAATATTAATAGTTTATTAAATATTGGCAAAAAACTAAATGCCATTTTTTTTTCATCTTTAATTGTCTATAACTTTTAGCACATTTTTCTAGACGTCATTCCGGATCCAATGAGCTATCGCACATAATTTTAAGAGCAGTATCTCTATTTTGTTCCATTTTCAACTTGTCGACTAGACTATACATTGTACATAACAACGGTTATATATTTTGAATTTCTTATTGCCGTAAACAGTCGATATATATATTTTTCTATAAATTGAGATATCTTTTTGGTAGCACATAAAATAAAAAATCCGCGATAAATTTAGTTTAGAACTTTGGTTTTATATACTTTTTGTAGTTTGTATATAAAGGTAAAAAAAATCGTTAAGGACGGATTTTATTAGGGTTTCAAAATACACATATTTATATTACACGATAACATAAGAAAGTAAAAAAATAGATTGTTATAAAAACTATGCCTTATTGACTTAACCCGTAAAGAATCGAACAAATTAACCATAAATCCAATCAAAAGCTATGGAAAGAATATTTTACTAGCATCCTCAAATCAGCCTATCCAATACTTAATCTATCATAAGGGAACAGTTACATACATAGATAGCCCCATCCATTCACTTTGAATTGTGCTGTGATACTTTACTTTCAAACTAAGAAGAGTTTATTTAACTCACTTGGAAATCTCATAAAGAAACCGATCAGCTCTCGCCATGCTGTCCAGTTCATCCTGGTGCTCCTCCAGTAAGGCGGCTTCTTCAGCACTGGGCGTGAACTTCAATAACTGCTCAACCATATCGATGGGTAATTGTTCTGAACTGTCCATTCGGAGGATTGCTCTGAAAGTGGAGTTAAACACTTAGCTTGACACAAAGCTGAATTTTCTAGATTTTTAAAACATATACGATAAAACAGGAATAGAAAATGTCTGTTAGTTAACAGTTCTTTTAGACATAGAGTCGTTTTGCATAATTGATTTATAGTAAAAATAATAATGTGCTAACTGGGCGGATGTTTCTGCCATATTAAGAAGAGAATATACATAACATTTCGAAAGAACTGAGAATTTATTTTCCTTAAATTTGATGTCGTGTACGGGTTTGACTGATAGAGCAAGAAAGCCCAATACATTGGTTTGGGTATCCAGGCTATTAAGAGATTGGCTCAAAGAGCTGTATAATATAATCTTTGCTCCAAAATAAACAAATTTGCCCTAACCAGCCTTCTTATCCTAAAGTGCGAAACGAAATTAAAGTTAAAAATAAAAAACCTATTGGAAATATTATTTCTCCCCACAGGAAACATAAAATGAATGATTTTGGATAACTGAGGTAAAATCGTTACGCATTTTTACTCGCTATTTTTAATGGGCGGATCGGTAACCCCTATTTGCTGTCGTTAATTTCTTTTAAAATTCCTTCTCCTTATGCGACAAGACACCCAAAATTGTTTTATGTGCCTCGTACGAACTCGAATTACCTGCATAATTCACCAATGTTTCGGGTTTTATCTAACTATTGATATTTTCCACCTCACCAAAGAAGATGTGAGAAAGTATTTGAAGAGGCGGGAAGACTCTGATTTTGTTACGGTAGCGATTTGAAATATTAAATATTATTTGTTGTTTTAAATGTTGTTTCAGTTGTCTATATATAGTTTTGTCTATTGATGTACTTATTTGTTTTCTGTTTAGTATATATTGTTTATGTATGTAATCTGTTTTGGCTTTCTGTACTGTCTACTAAGTGTTTGTTTTATAATACTATGTATGTTAGCTGTAAGATTACTTATAATTAAATAAATTAAATATAGCGGTAATAATAAAAGGCCAGCAGTGCGTGCACTCGCGAGGCTTCTGGCAGGAGGAGTTTGGGGCGGCAGCATTACTTAACATCAGGTGAGCTTTCTGTCCGTTTCTATAAAATATGTAGGGTTCCCGAAATTGTTATTTTTATCCTGAAAAGACAATTGCATATTGCAATTTGGTAAAACCTACCTGCATATTTCTTCATCGGACATCTTCAGTTTGGACAGCAGTATTGTGCAGTTCTGAGCACGTCTTCCGTCTATCACTGACAAAATCTTCGTTCTCGGTTTAGACCCCAGTTGTCTAAGGTCTTCGACTGAGCCCTCGTTCTGAATTTCAGAAGAACACAAATTTATTAAAAGTTTAATTTATTTTTGACAGGCTTTAAGAAGAAACTCTTCTACATAAACATTTCTTAACTATAGCCTATCCTGCTCAATCGTGACTTTTGTAATTCTTGTATTTCTTATTCTTTTTATTGCATCGCATTTCATGACATTAGCTTTTTAGTTTGATTTATTAATATTTCTATTGTATTATTTTAGATTAAGGTTCTATTTTTTTTTTGAGAGAAGATTTGGTTATGTACTTCTTGCACTTTACCGTTCATATTTTTTTAATATCATATTATTTAAGTTTATTCCTTTTAGCTATGGCCACCCGATGCATCCCTTATAACTTTGATGTATTATATTATTTGTTTTTCTATAAATGTAAAACAGTATAAATAAATAAATAAAATAGAAACTTTCTCTAATAAAACAGGGAAAACATTTGATTTGTGTGTTTGTTTAAGTGTTTAATAATTTCACTAATATCAAATTTTTCCATATCCGAAATAAGGGTCACTTATGTTTTGCAGTCAATATCACTAAGGTAAGTAGTATCCATACATACGTAAGAGATGAAAGACAAGATCTTACCATGCAAAAAGGAGAAAAAGCAAACACGCTACCTGAACTCCATTCTTCTGATAAGCGCAGAACATCTTGTCGATCGCATGCAAATCAATCGCGTTGTACAATTTCGTATCATCCAACTCCTGCCAAATCGTTCCGTGTAACTTCGTATCGGGGAGTTTGCTCCAGTTGAAACTCTTCAAGGGATTCCCTGGTGTGGGCACATTCTTCTTGGGCCTCGGAGCGGCCGGGGCCATGGGGGCAAGGGGAACAGGGGGCGGGGCGGGTGCGGAAGGAGGGGGAATGGAAATGACTGGGGGTGGGGGAGGAGGTGGGATGGAGCAAGTGATCACTGCGCTTTTGAGATTGCTGACCTGAAGAATGGTACCACATTAGACATGATTCGGTACAGTTATTGGAAACTGACCAAATATAGGCAAGATTGGTATTCGAACATACTGTCTTCACTTCTCGAAAGTGCTATTCTACTGGAAAAGCCGACAACGCACTTGTACGCTGGCGTTGCAGGTGTAGAGAAAAACACTAGTATGGTATATACATGGAGATTTTGTAATAGTTAAATACTTTTTAAATAAATAACTACAAAGAATATCACAAAATTGTTGTACTACATTATTATACAAGATATTGCATATGGATTATATTTTTGAGCTTTTCGTAACAAACAAACTCCCATGACTTAGACCTACCTTAGCATCATCAGGTATGCTTCCTTCGCTGACTAGTTTCTCAAATCTTGCACGTTCCGTTCTTTCTTGGTTCAACTGCAAAATTTTAATCAAAACTTCTATACAAATTCATACCAATGTTTGCATCCACACAAGATATTGCGTAGCTCACGGTTCACTTAATAGACGAGAAACTAAAGACCAAATTTGATGACTTTTAAAGGAATACTTTATTTCATTTCCTTCTGTATTCCTTCACACTTAAAGTTTGAGGGACAAATCTGCAATTATGCTAATATTTTTTAAAAGCTACAAATGTTACTCCTTAGGTTTCCAGTCCAATATTTATATTGTTTTTTATTATTTTTTTAAGACGCTTTGTTACGTAATATAGTGCGTACTTATACGCACTATATTACGTATACGCACACACACACAGAGAATTTATTTTGTGTCATTTATCTTACAAATTAAAATCTTTTATTTTCAGACAGCGAGCAATTATTCGATATGCACCTCTACAATTCTTACGCACATCACTACATCTCTTTATAAGACCTGTTGGTGCGAGCGAGACAGACAGATAAAAATGATTTATGATCCGAAGCCTCTGTTCATAATGCGACTACTATACTACTATAGTATGACGGGAACTCAAAAGCTGCAAAAGCCTCCAGCCCGTGTGTTATTGTTTCATAAAAGCCAAGTTAACCCTACCTGCTGTTCCAACTGATGCGCCCTACAAGCACTCGCTCGGGCCCTTTCAGTACACTCCATGTGGGCCGCTGTTTCCCTCTCGAGGCGGTCTTTGAGGCGGCAGACCACACCTTCCAACTCTTCTCGCTCCTGGCTCTGCTGGTCCACTTGCTTCTCCTGTTAGTTCACATGCAGGTGAGGGGTTATATGACACGTGGGTGAAGAGGCTTTATTGCATTGTTAGAAAACTGATCAATTTTATATCAGAATTTAAAGAATATTTCAAGTGTTTTTTTTTTATAAAATTTAAATAATATTTTGTTTGAAACATATAAAAAATTCTTTAAAATTAATATTTGTATGTATAATGTATATATTTCATATAATATGGTCGATTGCAAAGATCTCTTTACCCACTCATATGAATATGAAAATGATTAATATTAAACCAACAATTCTGCATTGCTTTATGGCTTTATGGTATTTTATTAATGGATTACTGAATGGAAACTATGTTTTCCATAACCTATGGGTTAATCCCATAAAAAATAATTATGTTTATTTCGCTAATAGGCAAATTATTCGATATGTAACATTTTTTCTGCTTTAAAAAAAATGTGCTATTTTTATTTTATCTTGTATGGTTTTTGTCATATTTATATATCATACATTTTAGATAAAAACGTTTGTAAGATATGTATATACCCTAGATATAGTATTATGTATGATGTGGTAAACTTTAATTAATAAATCAATAAACAATTCCAAATGATTAAATGCGTAAAAACAAAAAGAATCATCATTATTTATTAATAAAACAATCCTGTCCTAACCGGTGACCCTTAATCCCAAAGAACCAACAAAGAAATTAATTAGTAAAAACAAAAATTTAAAATATTTCAAAGTATTTCCGTCCGTTCACTTAACGGACCGTAAAAAAGGTGTGTTAACTTATTCGTATTGTAAATTGATGTTTACAGATCGGAGATTTTTTTGAATGAACCTAAGAAATTTGGATTTCCTGACGTTTGGTATTGAAGTAAATTTTGATGTTAAATTGTTTTTTGTTTTTAAGAAATCGCAATAATTGTTAAAACCACAATTCCACCACTACAATGGATGAACATGAAAAGTAAAAATCCTCAATCCTACCTTCTTAGCCAGGTCCGTTGCCAGGTCGACATTTTCCTTTTCAAGATTTTCGGCTTTAGTCCGAGCAGCTACAAGTTCCTCTTCTTTCGCGAGCAAATGTACGATTTCGGCAACATTTATTTCCAGTGGAGCTACATCTGGGTCATAGTGCTGGAAAAAAAAGTAAATTTCTCATTTTTTTATTAACCTGCAAAGTGAATTTTATGTTAGTAATTCTTGTGTTTAAAAAAAAAATTCAATCATAATCCTCTTATTCGTAAAAACGAAATCAGTTAAATTTCAAACTATAATTTTCTTTCGTCGCTTTCTATCGAATTGTATTTATGATGTTATAAACAGAGAAAATAAGTACGTAAGTTAAAAAGTTTGTGTTTTTAGTTTAGTTTTGTTATATTATTTAAAAAATTATTATTATTAAAATATTTTCGGAAAATTTCCCTGTTCGCGTTGCAGAGTTTTTTAAGCGAAAATTACACAATCAATTACAATTATCGTAGGAAATCAATCCTAATTTTGAGAACTAGGTATATTTACTCGTAGTAAATACTAATACTACTAGTACTAAGGTTCTTGTTGGGAGAACTATGCATCTGAAAATCAAATACGAAATCAAAAAATGCAAGGTACCTTGGGGTTTTCTTCAGGCTGGTCTCCCTGGTGGCTGCTGGCTCGGCTGCCAGCGGATGGCTGCTGAAGCACCACCTGCTGTACCACTCTGTCCAGCAGCAACCAGTGCTGAGCGTGGGGGTTGTACTCCACTGGAAATAGATTATCCACTATAAACTCCGTGTAAGGCGATATACATTTTTAAGTTATGTTGTAGTATGACAAATATAATAAGGTTTTATAATCTAGATATTTTAATTTCTAGGAAAACATGAATGAAATTTGATTGGTTATAACTATACTATATACTAGCGGATCCGACAGACGTTGTCCTGTACAAACGTCTTACATACAAAAAAAAAATGGTGCGAGTACTTATGTACGCGCGTAAGAAGTTATACTTCTTTGGCTTTCTTTATTTTTTTTTAAATATTTAGCTTTAATAATTTAACAATATTTAATATTTAGTATATTATTCAATTATTAATAATAATAATTATTTATTATTTTATTAATTCAATTTAATAACTAGGTATGTTTCATAACCTTTTAACTAAGTAACAATAGGTCTTTGTGAAAAAGCATTGCTAAATTTGTTTGAAAAAATAATTAAAACTCCTTTATTTGTTTAAAAGGTACTACAAATGTCATTATGGTCATTCAAAATTCTTGGCATAGCTGCTAACGTCACGCGTATTCTATTTCTTTTTACTTGTAGATTGTCTTATTCCCATCTCGCTCGCGCACGCTCGGCGCCCATACTGATAATTTTGTGTCACAGTGCGCGCGCATCGTAAAATTTCACTCTCATAAATTTTTCATAACGCGCCTAAAGAAGTATAACTTCAAAAATATTTAATAATGTAAATAATTCTCGACTCCACTTGAACACACAAAACATTTCATCAAAATCTGTACAGCCGTTTCAGAGTTTTATTACAAACACACGCACAGAATATTTACATATATACTAGCTGTTTATTTGCTGTATAGATAAATAACCTAGATACCGACTGCAGCGCCAACTGCCGGGCTGATTTGTGAATCTAAACCATAAAGGGCGCCACCCAAACGCATACATTCAAATCGGTCTAGCCGTTTAAGAGAAGTTCAGTGACATACCGTGTGTATGTCACTGAACTTCTCTGAAAATCTCTTGCAGTAGATAATATATTAATATAAAAAAAATATAATTATATATAAAGATACAATATAAAACTATGCTATGAGCTTAGTAAGTCAATTAAAACAAAGTTGGATTATTTTTTTATAATAGGTACTCACATGGCAGCAACAACAAGTGCCTGAGCATAGACAGTAGATGCGGGTACGCGGCGGTATGGCTCAACTTATTTCGCAACAAGTCGAACATTTCCGTCGCACTCTTCGTGTCGACGTGCTGCTTGTCGTACCGTCGGGATAACTCTCTCTCGTCCTCCGTCCGGACCATCTCGAAGAACTCGATATGACGGTCGAGGGTCTCATTCTCGTACTTACGCAATTTCTCGATTACTGAAAATGTTATAAATAGTTTTTAATTATATATTTTTTTATTAACACTTTATTGCAGTACATAATGAAAAATATTATTAATCTAATTAGGAGTTTGAAGAATGATGACTGATATTTTAAACTTATTCATTTCTCATTCATAGATTACATTTTTAATCATAGAAAATCTATCTTATTTCCACATATTTATGTAACTGAAAAATGAATTTGTGAATAAAGTTTAAAAGTTTTGGGCAATGAGACAGTTACATTAAGGAGTTCATTCTATAATAATTTTAGTTAATAATTAGAAGCCTGCAATTATTTTTTTCACTCAAAATGGAACCCAAAACATAAATATATACTTTTAAGTTAAGCCACGAAGAAAACTTAATAGTTAAATGTATTTTTAACCGACTACAAAAAAAACTGAAACTTATCAATTCGAATCGGTTAATTTTAGTTCTTATTTTATTTTGATTAACTCACCAGGTTGTATTCCCAACATAAGCAGCTCATACCGCAAATGTAGTCTGAACTCCAGGCTTTCCTCTCCAGGTCCATAATTCAGTACTGCATTCACAAATGACATGATGGCCGTCTTAAGACCTAGGTCATCCCGATAGGCACCCGTACTGCGGTCTAGCTCATTCACGATGCCTTGAAATCTAGCCCTTTCACCCGCGTATTTTTGGTAATGGATCATTGCTTCAAGTACCTTAAATAAAATGAAATATTTTGAGGGTAGTCCATAAAAATAGGGTACGTAATTATTTTCTAGTTATAACAAGTTTTTTGTTTGTTTTGGTATTTTAAGGGCCTGTAGTAAAAAAGAGGTTTGGTATGATAATTCTAAAAAAGAGAAGTAAGAAGACCATTTAAGTTAATGCTAAGATTTAGCATTTTTTCTAATATAAAGAATATTATTCGCTAAGATTATTTATTATTATATTTATAACAATACCTAAAATAATTGTTACGGACAGTCTATCAACAGCCAATCAGAGAGCTCACGTCTACGCGAAGCTCTCTGATTGGTCAAAACATTGTTCCTCGTTACCCTTATCCTCAAAATTTGTATTCAATACTTAATATTCTTTATTGTGGAAGGCACAGAATACTGTCCGCAAATGTAAATGAAATTCACGTTGATTATACAATAATATATGATGAGACACTATTTTGTAGTAGTTGTAAATAATAGAAAAATTTTATATTACCAATACATTTAAAATAATAAAAATACTTATTCTCGTATGAATTATTTCGAATGTTTAGTTTATTTAAAGCTGCATTCTCTGGCAGAAACTTTTCTTAGCAGTAAGGCCGTCCATACATCATTTGTGTATTTTTATTTTTGCACCTTTGATGTAAATACATTGTTTATTATTATTATTTTAATGTGACTCCGGCAATAACCACTTATTCAGAAATCTCTAACATTATATGGGATCTCGAAATAAAAGCATCTTACCTTCTTATGTCCTCCTGGTACAAGGCAAACTGCGCCAAGGATTTCAAGGGCTGCCACTTTAGTTTTAACATTTTCTGTGTCTAGCGATTGAGCTATTAAGTCGATACTGGTCGGATGAGCTAGGACGTGTGCACGGCCAGTCTAAAAATATTTTGCAAACATTATAAATTGTTTCATACGAAATTAATGCTAAAATAAAATTAAATATTGTTAGGTACTTAATTTATTTTATTTTTATCTTTTCCCATAAGTATATCTACTTAAATAGATACAGAGATAGAGATCTGTCGATCTCTTTAAGAATTTTTGTTATTCTATCTCTGAACATTTAATTTATAAAACCTTTCCCTTCTTGAAGACCTATAATATATTTTTGAAGGCCCAAAAAAAATAAGCGCCTGACAAAAAGTTTCACACCATTATTATCTAAAGTCTAATCTTTGCTCTTCGAAAGAAAAAATTATTTAAATTTATACATATTTTCTTTACCCGATTATTAAAAAAAATCAATGGAACTACAACCTTTTTAGGTCTGAGCCTAAAATTTTTGTATATGTTTCATGATCATTCACTTATAAGTTATAAGCAAGTAGGTGATCGGCCTCCTGTGGCTGACTTACGCCGTCGGCTTTTTGGGTCTAAGGCAAGCCGGTTTCCCCACGATATTTTCCTTCACCGTTCGAGCGAATGTTGAATGCGCACATAGAAAGAAAGTCCATTGGTGCTGATGATGAAAGGGATTAAAGTAGCACGCTGAAGCCACTAGAACTGCTCTCCGTTTATTTAGCCGATATTCACCTATATTCAAAGCTACATAGAGTTCATTTCTCACTGTATATGGCAACCAGTTATAAAATGTAACAAAATACTTACAGAATTATTCATGAGCGCCTTAATTCCAGCGATAAGGTTATGTCTCGTCATTGCAGCATCTCTTGGTGCTTTCTGCAAGGCTTCAAGGAGAGAGGTGAGACCTCCTTGCTTGATGAATCGGAGGACAAAGCTATGGGCTCTTGTGCGTAAAGCAGTTTTCAGACCATCCACTAGTGCACAAGCGTCAGTTGGTGCACCACTGTCTGATGATGCAAAGGCCTGGAAAAAGAGTTAATAAATTTAATGAGGGTTAATTCATTGTATTCCTCGATCGGGTTTTTTAAGTCAGTCTAAACTAAAAAGCATTTAAAACTAAATAATCTTTTCAATAAGAAGTCCTGTATGAGGAGCGAAAATATATATGTACTTATTACAAGTTACATATAAGTCTAAAATTAGTTTATTTTTTATTTAATTTTTTTTTATCGAATAGGTAACGAGATTACGGAACGCCCAAAAAAGGGGAAGTCTTAGCAGCCCATAGACACCTACCTATTTTAGTGGGTAGTAGTTGCGTAGAATCTAGTTAATAACTTTTAAAACGCCTTAAATGGACAAAACTATTTTAACATAACTTGGTTTTGGTCGATTTGTGATAAATTTTACCGTTATAAATAAATACTACATATTATATAATCTGATATTATTATAAAAGTATTTACCAAAGACTTTGTAAAACTTAACAATACTCACATCGGCTATCTCATTAAGTGCCTTGATGTATTCCTCAACTTGGGGCGCCGTCGCTAGGGCGGAAGGTTGTCCCGGGGGCGGGCGGCGACTGCAGTATATCTGCCACTTCTTGGCGGCTGGAAGCTCCATCATCGCAGCCTTGTTCACTGCTGTAAGGTCCAGTTCCTCCTGAAAATTTAAGCATTTTATTAAGAATTGTCAAACTATTATACGATATATCATATATGTACAATAGTGAGCCTATGGTATGGACTGTCAGACACAATAATTAATAAATGTTTTCTCGGCATTCAAATCCTTGCTGCTTAAATCGACAACAAAAACTCTATAAGATTGTATTAAGAAACGTTTATATATAAAGACGCCAAATTATTTAACTGAAAACTGAATAAAAAGTCAACAAGCAGATGTTTAGAAATAACAAAACCACTAACATGACCCAGTTAACAAACTTAAAACTACGCTAATCGGTTCTACGCAATTAATACGTCGAACTAATCAAGCGAGCAATTTCCCAAACACGATTCCATCATACAAAAAAGGAAACACTACAAAAAATCGAGACCTTCACACGAATTCCGCGACGAATGTTTAAAGTGGAAAAATTGGTCATCTAAATGCAATAAGGAACGCTGGTGGAATGCAGTTTAGGTGATCTCCTTGTAAATGTACTGGATTTTAATATAAAATATATTAACGAGTATAGAAGCTAATAGTTTGTTAGGACAACCGACTGCTAACACTCTTATACTCGTACAGAGAAGACAGAGGTGTGAATGGAAGTTAAAGGTAGTATCGCAATACAGCGAGGAAATTCTGCCAGCATTAAACGTACACTGCCACAGGGACCAAACTAAAAATTTGTTTAAAATTTTTATTGATACATTTTTAATAATAATGATAAGGTTAAGAATATTGTAAATACTGTATATTTGCGTGTTGGAGATTATTTTTTATTTATAGTTAAAATAATCTATAGAAATAAAAATGTATCTGAGTTAGTTTATATATTATAATTATTGTTTTTTGTTCTTGTAAATATCACTTATGGATAACACTATGTTATATATTCGAAAAACTCGCCCATGTTAAAGAAATCAAAAGATACTTTTAAATAAATGATGATATTTTTAGTAACATTCCATTGCGTAAGCGCATTTTCACTTCATTTAAAATAAAATAAAAATTAACATTCCATATTGGTGGAATTATTTGATAAATAATTGAGATTAATTGAGTAGTATTATTTTATTTTACTAATAAAATATCTATCTTAACTTCTTTATCTTATAAAAGTTTTTGAAACGATTATTTTTAAAATTAGCACAAATGATCTCTTGCTTTAATACAGATGACAAATAAATGACAAGTCTTTTAAAAACTAGAAATAATTTTACACCTTCTATTGCTATTTCATTCTACATACAGATCTTATAAACAAATCATCTGAGACCAACTAAAAAAAACTTAGATAACTATTTAGAAAAATGTCACTGTAAATTAGACAATATTAACTATAAAAGTCAACTAAACTATAATTAGTTACTTAAAATACCAAGGCTGCACAAGCCCTACAGTAATGAAACTGTGAAAAATCTCTGACAGATTTATAAAGGTTAAAATTTGAGTCATTAGAACGGCGTCATTCTAACACTCGCTTCAAGGCTTTAAAAATAATTACATCACATTAAAAATATTTAAGAACATAATCTAGAAGCGATTTTTTTTTTGGACTATGTGTAGCGCCCGGCTTTTAATTAATTCGGTCTGTGGACAGACGTTTGGTTTGTTATCTAACAATAAACAAATTTTCCAACAAAAACAAAAATTTCGAACCCTGCTGGTTCCTGAGATTATCGCGTTATACATAATTGACCAAATAGAAACACAAAATATCTAAATTTTAGCCGTAGTCACTACTACAAAATTTAATAAGAAAAAGTGCACATGAATCACGATAATTTTAGATCAGATTACTAAGTTCCATCGATTCTTTATAGAAAAGTAGGATTATACTTCTGCACCTGAGACACGTGGTATTTATTTATTAAAAACCTTTGCCTTATTAATTTAAGTTTCATTATAAACAATTCCCAGTTCATTTTGAGTATAAATTACAAAACTAAAATTCCCGTACTATATATCGTTCTACGACTTGTTAAAGAATAACTAATTAAATTCACTAGCCATTACACGATTATAACGTGTGTACTTTAAACAATTTGTAAGCTGAAACAGCTTTCAACAACTTTCTATCACCAAGGCACGAAAGCTTGGCCCTAGTAATAAGCACTCAGTGCTTTCCATAATATTCCTACACTAGACTAAACCTAAATTTCCACTCACTATACTCATATTATAGAAAAAAAAATATATTTCTGTTTGTTTCTAAATAAAAATAAACCTATTTGTTCTTTTCAAAATTTCTTTTACTATTAGAATACTAAAATATCCCTGAGACGTGCAAAGGTGACAGGCTGCTAGTTATAGATAAGATATTACTTACAGATATTCAGATATAATCATTTCAAATTTCGAAAAACGGGAAGGAAAATCATACTGGAATTTTGACCATACGAAACATATGTTTGTAATGTTCAGATTATATAAGTAATCGTTTTCCATACGCACTTAAATTCACAATACACTAAAATTATATTTATCATATATTTTAAAGGAATACTGTATAAACATACTGAAGGCTAATTCAATCGCAATTAAATCTACAAAAAATTATAGGATATGAGGACTGATGATTTTCGGACACTCAAAAATGCCAGTAATTGCAGCCATTTTACACTCTGGGTGCGTTACCGGCCGTTGTGGGAGATTTATGCTCTTTTTTAAAACAATTGAAAGTTGTATATCGTTGTGAAGCTGATTGTGGAAGACGTCCAATCATAAAGATGAATCTGATAAAATTTTAGTTATTAAGGTGATGAAACGAGGTAGGTGATATCAACCCAAACCACTCTTCATAACTGAAGAACCCTGAAGAATAAGAGTCGCAATGTCTCTGCGTAGAGAGAAAGACAGTTAATCCGATCAATACATTGGAGATTGACAATTCAACGTATATTTTTGGTCCGCTTATAATTTTTGAACAAGATTGTTACTTTAGAGGTTCTGAGAATTTGGTGTAGTCGTTCGTTCGATCTCCTAACATTTGAGGTCGTCCGTACGAATCTGCGCACTGATGGATATTTCTTTCTATGTGCGAATTTACCACTCGTTCGTACGGTGAAGGTAAACATCGTAAGGAAGCCTAACACCCAAAAAGTCGACAGCGCGCCTATTAAAAATTAAAATGATCAAAAAACAAATACAACTGAGGCAACCCAGATATTGTAGCGACACTTTCTTAGTGGTTCTAAACCCAAAAACGAAATGCTACACTCTCCAACACCCAGAACATCTTACTCAATGAAGAAACGATTTTATTAGTAGTACCTACAAGCTAGTTAGCAGTAAAATTATCATTTTATCTACAAGGCTTGCAAACGTGTAGCTTTTCTCCAATAAATTCCAATCAAAGCTGGTGAAACTCAGTGGCATTATTCAGTATTGAAATGTATACGAAACCTGAGATACAGAGGAAAGTTGTTGCTAGTTTAATTGCTTCGTTAGACTTAACAGTTTATGTAACATCAGTACATACTACCTATTCAATATATAAACTTACGTATTTATGTTGAAAACAGACGATAACTTAAGAATCTTCTGTAGTCATTAAGCCTACATCTAAGATTTTTCGTACAAATATTTCATCCCTCCCCCTCCCTTCCTCTTTCTTTCTTCTTTCTCTCAAAAATAATAGTACATAAACGTATTAATTTTCGTAGGAATCCTCGTAAATGCATTTCGATTTCAACCATAGACAATGTGTGGGTAATATGTGTAAAAAAGTAAATAATTACTGGTGACGTAATCACCAATTAAGTAAAAAATAAACCCCTTCCCCCAGCATTATAGTGCCTACGTAATACTTGAACGGCCCCAAGGAACAAAATAAAATAAAAATCTATCTACTAAATTAAAGAGAAAATAGATAGATAGATAGCCAGATACACAAAGCTACAGACGAATAAAAATTTCTCTTTATAAACATCAATAACAACAAAATAATATAATGTATAGTAAATTCAAATTAGTATGTTATTTTTATATACATTTTATTACACCTAACAAATCTGGGATTCTAAGAATTTTCCACGTCACATAAACTGGTTTTCTCTAATTCCTCGAACGAGCTCAAAGAATGTAAAGGTCGCATAATTTCTCAGCAGTCATTATGAGCAGTAAAATGTGTTTATGTTCTTAAATACTATAATTAAAATTATTTTTAGAATTATAAAAAATCGTCTCGTAGCTTCGTAATTATTTACCCGAAACTCCTTGATTCGACTGAATATTGTATGTGAAAAACCACTAACAAGATCGTTTCATTGTTACTTTCAGGTCTAGATAATGATGGATCGCGGATCTTGCCTTCGTATCTAGGATCACCTACTTAAAATGGCAGTAATAAAAATAGGAAATTAAAATAAATTTAAATGTTTGGTAGCTGTGGCAGTGTACCTTTAATTCTGGCAGCATTTCCTTGCTGTATTGCGATACTTATGCGTTGGGTAAGGAAATCAACAGCTTTAGGGTCACCTGTACTATCATTATAACTATAATTAGCGCCTGTGCACTTGACTTGCACGTCTATTATTAATAGTAAATAGGAAGTAGTTAAGAATAAGAGCGTATAAATTCTTAAAAGGCCGGCAACGCACTCGCGAGCCCTCGGGCATTGTATGTCCATGGGCGGTGGTATCACCTAATATCCTTAATATCAGGTTAGCCTCCTGCCCGTTTGCCCACAGTACAAAGTGAAAAGTTCTTCTGGCTGACACTTATCACAAACTCAAAATAACTTTATTCATATAGGTTACCAAATACAGTTATGAACATCAACAGAAAAGATGTGAAATTGATTCTAAATTTCGTATGTCAATGGCGTAGAACGGAAGAGAAGAACTGGCAAGAAACTCTCCGTCACTCTTTATAATCGCCAAGTTTTGAGTCATACAAATTGTTTGAACTGGAGAAAATCAATCCCAAGTATTAGGGTCATTAAAATACTCGTAAAATTTATAAAAAGCTTTATTGATTAATTTTCAGTGTACTTATTTAATTTCGCTTGAGAGTTTGTTGTAAAAACGAATACAATTTCCATATAAGGCGTGTTTTATCATCTGGAGCCGGAATATTCGAACGCTTAGATTAGTTCTATTTCATGTTATACTGGTGAAAGTCACCATTTGTTTTAAAATCGTTTATTTTTATTATAATATACAACACAGCTTCAAGAATACATTGACCAGATAGTGTCACACTATTTAATTCCTTAAACTTAGATGGTGCTAGTATTAAATTAATATGATTTTTAGTTAGCCCTAACCTTCAAAAGACAGGTTATAACTCTTAGTTGCACTTGTCACTGGTCTCTATAATAGTACGGGAGGTAGCAACGTTTTCGAGAAAGAATTTCAGGTCAGCTGATTTGTGATATGTCTTCCTTCTTGCACTTCCGGTTAGAGTCTGGGCAATCTGGCTGCGGTAGTGGTTGCGTTCATTATCGCATCCTACTTCCAGGTAAAAATCCTGGATTTTAAAAGCATTTTAAGAAGCGTAATTTTTAATTTTTCGTTTTTAAATACGTCTACCTGACATACTTTTTTATTGCCAGACATTTTTCACGTTGCAACTATGTGCCAGACATTTTAAGTTTTATTTTATGAAAATTTCAAAGCATTTTAGAATGTCTGTAATTTTAATATTATGTTATTGAAATATAAGGAAAACTGAAAATGAATTTGCCAGACATTAATTCGGTTGTTAAGTCTTGAATTAAAATGATAAAGTTTTGCAGTATGATGAAGCATTGCATTTTAAGAAGCGTAATTTTTGATTTTTCCTTTTAAATACGTCTACCTGACATACTTTTTTTATTGCCAACATTTTTCACGTTGCTAACTATGTGCCAGACGATTTTAAGTTTTTTTTTATGAAAATTTCAAAGCATTTTAGAATGTCTGTAATTTTAATTTTGTTATTGAAATATAAGGAAAACTGAAAATGAATTTGCCAGACATTAATTCGGTTGTTAAGTCTTGAATTAAAATGATAAAGTTTTGCAGTATGATGAAGTTGCATTTTAAGAAGGTAATTTTTGATTTTTCCTTTTTAAATACGTCTACCTATACTTTTATTATTGCCAGACATTTTTCCCATTGTTAACTATGTGCCAGAGCGATTTTAAGTTATTTTTTATAAAAATTTCAAAGCATTTTAGAAATGTCTGTAATTTTAATATTATGTTATTTAAATATAATAAAAACTGAAAATGAATTTGCCAGACATTAATTCGATTGTTAAGTCTTGAATTAAAATGATAAAGTATTGCAGTATATGAAGCTTGCATTTTAAGAAGCGTAATTTTTAATTTTTCCTTTTAAATACGTTACCTGACATACTTTTTTTATTGCCAGACATTTTTCACGTTGCTAACTATATGCCAGACGCGATTTTAAGTTTTATTTTTATAAAAATTTCAAAGCTTTAGAATTCTGTAACTTTAATATTATGTTATTTAAATATAAGAAAAACTGAAAATGAATTTGCCAGACATTAATTCGATTGTTAAGTCTTGAATTAAAATGTAAAAGTCATGAAAAGTATTGCAGTATATGCTTGTAGTACGAGCATAAAAAGGAATATAAAATTTGATTAAAATTAATAATCAACACTTTATTTAAATTGTCCTAATTACTAAATGTAAGTTATGAATAATTAATATTAAGTTTTCAAGTTGTTTTACCTATTACGTCACAAAAGATGGTAAAACAACCTTTTAACTTCTTGCAAACTTTTTCACAAAGTTTGCAAGAAGTTAAAAAGTTTGTGGAGCGTGGAGTTGGCGTCAGTCTAATGTCACATGTTTGAATTGTTTTGATTTTTAATGATTATTTTTTAATTTAGTTACAATGGCTAATGACAAAATAAAGTGTGTTATTGTAAAGGACATACGATATTTACTTTTCGAGGGTGATAAACT